TGAGTAGCCACGTCCCTACGCGTGCTCCTAAGTGGGGGATCCAACAGAAAATCTAGACAGATGCATGGACAGAGGGGCACCAATGGACACTAGAGAGGAGATGAGGGTATTCCAGAGACCGTGAGACGGACAGGCAAACCCACCGGCTCCCGGCCCGTCCCCTCAGGGGAGCCGCTCTCGGTGGCTTTTGCAGTGAACCTGCTCTTCGACTCCTTGCTGAACAGAGACAACGAGCCCAGCACCCCTGGCTGGGCACGTAGGTGCCCGGGGAAGGTCTGCTGGGGTGGTCCGTGCTCCACAGTTGGGACGACGTCAGAGCCTCCTGGGGGTCTCCGCCCCCCTCTTTCAGGAATCAGGGGCCGATCAACACGTGGACCAGCAGAAGACAGCGTGGGCTTCCTGGCCTCACATGTCCAGTTGGCCAGATGGTGGTCTTCTGTCGTCTGCTTTCCAACCAGCCGGCCCTTCCGGATCTGCTGCCCATCTCAGCCCAGGCCCCACTGAGGGAGGGGCCCCGAGTCCCCTGGACCACCTGCGCCCGGGGCTGAGAGGTGAGGGGGCCTGCAGCCCCCGCCACCCACTCCCAGCCTCACAAGGAAAGAAGGCCGAGGAGGCGGGACGGCAGGGGTGGCCTTGGCCCGCTGCCAAGAGAGGGGGGCAGGCGCACCTTCTCCAGAGAAGCTGCCGCTCACCAGCCAACTCGGGCAGAAGAAAGAAAAATGCTCAGCACCATCTGTCCCCAGAGCGGGCTGCTGGGCCAGGCTGCCGGCAGCTCGCGGCCAGCCCCACTTTCAGAACCGACAGCTGCCCCTGGGCTATTTTGGGAAGCGCCTCAGCTCGCAGGCGCCGGCCTTCGAGGCATTTCCCGACACTCAGCTGTTGGCACAGCAGCCAGGCTGCCAGCTCCTCTGGCCCTGGACGCCTTCCAGCGCAGCCCACTGGAACCAGGCTGCTCCCGACTCCCCGAGATTCCCAACTGGAGCTGGGCTTCCCGGGCAGCGGGGAGAGCGAGGCGAGAGCCAGGGCCACAGCGGTGGATGGTGGATGGGGCTTCCTCCCCCTCCTCGGGCTCCTTTGCAGAGCTGCCTCATCTCCCCCAAGGACTGGACCCCCCCTAGGAGTCTATCTTCCCCTGGCCACCCTCTCCCCACTCCTTTTGTGAATAAGTCCCTGGTGGGTGACGTGGGGGCACCTTGGGCACAGATGACAACATCAGGCAACATGGGGTTTTCGAGGCAACTAAAAGCAGTTTGGAAAGTTTGGGGCCGAGAGGGCGACAGCACAGTGGCAGGAAGGCCCCAAAGCCAGCAGCAGAGGCTGGGCCTGGAGGGCAGGAGCCAGGAGCCAGGAGGCTTAGAGCAGAGTGGCCGTGAGGTGAGGTCCCCAAGACAGAATTGCCCTAGCCCCTGGAGCCGCCCTGGAGTCAGAGGGGACAAGGCAGAGGGACCAGCAGCCTGCACTTCCAGGGGCAGGAGGAGGGCACAGAGCTGCAGAGGTGACTGGGACAGAAAGGACGGGATCAGGTGCCCAGGTAGGGAGGAGTGGGGACAGGATCCTGGGGGCAGGGTGGCCAGAGGCAGGGACAGAGCCGCGAGGGGAGGGCCAAGGTGAGCTCAGAGCTGAACGTGAGGGTTGGGGGGTCCGAGGGGAGCTGTGCTCTGGGCAATGGGGGCTTCAGAAGCAGAACGGGGGCTTCCTGGGCTGGGCGGGAGGGAGGGAGGGGGAGGTGGCTCCTCGTGGAGACCAGCTTCAGTGTTGCAGGACGGAAAGCCTCATGGGGATGGCGGTGGGGACTGCAGTGGGGACAGCTGCAGGATGATAGGAAGGCGCTTAGTACTGATGAACTAGACAGCAGAGTGGTGTGTTTTGTGTTGTGTGTATTTTATCATTTTAAAAAATGGAAGATGAAGAAACATGGGGCTGGAGCTGGGGCTGGAGACGGGGCTGGGGACAGGGCTGGAGACGGGGTGGAGATGGGGCTGGAGACGGGGTGGAGACGGGGTGGAGATGGGCTGGAGATGGGCTGGAGATGGGGTGGAGACGGGGTGGAGATGGGGTGGAGATGGGGTGGAGATGGGGCTGGAGATGG